GTCATTTCTGGGCTCTGCTACCTCTGAGATCTGACTCTTTTTTAAAAAAAGATTTATTTATTTATTTGAAAGTCAGAGTTACACAGAGATAGAAGGAGAGGCAGAGAGAGAAGAGGTCTTCCATACACTGGTTCACTTCACAGTTGGTGGCTGCAATAGCTGGAGCTGCACTGCTCAGAACCCAGGAGCCAGGAGATTCCTCCAGGTCTTCCCATGAGGGTGCAGGGGCCCAAGGGCTTGTGCCATCTGCTTTCCCAGTCCACCGCAGAGTTCTGGATCAGAAGTGGAGCAGCTGGGAATTGAACCAGTGCCCATATGGGATGCTGGCACTGTTGGGGGTAGCTTTACCCTCTACACCACAATGCCAGCCCTGAGATCTGACCTTAACCTGGTGGGTTCCTGCCTGATGGGCATGGCATCCACAAATGATGTAGGTGATTGTATTCTGCACCCACAACTTTTGTCACATTGTTTTGAATTATCTATGTCCTTGTCATTTGTCCACCAGGACTGAAATCACCTTTAGGGTAATCATGATTCACATTATTCGTATTGCATCAATCATACCCAGGAGAGTACCAGGCATAATGCAGACAAGTCACCCCTGTCTCCCTTCCTCCTCTGCTCCTCGTTCCCACAGTGCTAGGGGCTCTTGCTCTCTCCTCCTCCACCCCTCCCTCTGCACAGCTACCACCACCATGAGACCCACACACCATGCTCCTCTACTCCCTCTGACCCCATACACTCTCCAGTTCCAGTGGATCCTAACAGGATGACATATCAAGTGTGGAGGTTTAGTTGTACTCATGAAGCGAAGCTACAGAGCTCCACTATCACTAAGTGAATTGTGGATGTTGGACTTGAAAGCTCTGATTCTTGTGCTCAGTTCTATGGTCCTATGACAACTGAGAGCATGGCAGAAATTAAGGAGATGCCTGCCTGCATATCCCATTCAGTTAGGAGCCACAGAGCTCTGCAGCATTGTTGTTGGAGCCCTTTCCATTTATTCACTGCTCAAACCTATTGCTTTCTTTTCTGCTTTGTGTCCATCCACTCATATCAGAGTAGCCAGGACAGTGAGTTTTTATGAGTCATGATGGTGAGCCAGTGGCTAGACACCTTACTTGGACTTTATAATGTGCATTTTGGCTATTCCAGGAAATTGTTTTTTAAAGATTTATTATTTATTTGAAATAGTTACACAGAGAGAGAAGGAGAGGAAGAGAGGGAAAGGTCCTCCATCCGTTGGTTCATTCCCAATTGGCTGCTATGGTCGGAGCTGTGTCAATCTGAAGCCAGGAGCCAGGAGCCTCTTCCAGGTTCCACATGGGTGCAGGGGCCCAAGGCCTTGGGTCATCTTCTACTGCTTTCCCAGGCCATAGCAGAGAGCTGGATCAGAAGTGGAGCAGCCAGGACTTGAACCGATGCCCATATGGGATGCCACACTGCAGGTGGCAGCTTTACCACAATGCCATAGTGCTGGCCCTCCCCAAGGAATTTTTTTACTTCTTTCCTGCTTAATTGTGCTTTAGTTACCTAAGGTTGATGAATCTATAAATTGTGAATTAGTGAGGTATTCCAAATTTAGCTTTGAAATATATGATTTTGTGGGTTTTTTAACTTAACTTTTTTTTATAATTTTTTTTTTTGACAGGCAGAGTGGACAGTGAGACAGATAGAGAGAAAGGTCTTCCTTTTACCATTGGTTAAACCCTCCATGGCCCCGAGGCCAGCGTGCTGGCCGGCGCACCGCGCTGATCCGAAGGCAGGAGCCAGGTGCTTCCTGGTCTCATGGGGTGCAGGGCCCAAGCACTTGGGCCATCCTCCACTGCACTCCCAGGCCACAGCAGAGAGCTGGCCTGGAAGAGGGGCAACAGGACAGAATCTGGCGCCATGACCGGGACTAGAATCCGGTGTGCCGGCGCAAGTTGGAGATTAGCCTATTGAGCCACGGCGCTGGCCTTTTTATAAATATTGAGCATTACTACTCCTTTTTAAAAATATTTATTAGCTTATTTATTTCAAAATCAGAGTTACACAGAGAGAGGGGAGGCAGAGAGAGAGAGAGAGAGAGAGGTCTTTTATCTGATGGTTCACTCTCCAATTGGCCACAATGGCCAGAAGTGTGCTGATTCAAAGCCAGCAGCCAGGAGCTTCCTCCAGGTCTCCCATGTGGGTGCAGGGGACCAAGTATCCTCTACTGCTTTCCCAGGCCATAGCAGAGAGCTGGATTGAAAGTGGAGCAGCCAGGTCTTGAACAGGGGCCCATATGGGATGCCGGTACTTCAGGCCTGGGTGTTAACCTGCTGCCACAGCGTCAGCCCCTGAATTTTACTTTTTATTTAGACCTTTCTTATAGAAATGGATTATGTCTTTAGTTTCTAAGTAACTGCATCATAATGAGGACCATTGTAGATTGTAGCAGTGAAAAATATTTGGCTTGATGATCAACATAAGGCTTATAGATAGTAGCTACCCATGAGATTGTGTCTTGGATTTAGGGGAAGTTTATGTCAGTTGGAGGTAGCCTTTAATTACTGATGAACATGAATGTACTGAGAACTCCTTGTCCATTAAATAATAAAATCCAAATGAAGATTTACACATGAGTTCCCTCCTGCCTTCATCTACCATTGAAATCCTGTTGTTTCTGCCTTTTGGATCTCCCTGTAATCTGTTGCCTCTTCTTCATTCCCACTACCACCATACCTTGGTTCAGGTCCTACTAAATTACCTTTGATATACTTTTTAATTGACCTCTGTGCTTTTTGTTTTTCTTACCTTTGTGTAAAGCCTCTTAGTTCATCCAAACATTTTTCTGATTGCTCAGGTTCTCTTACTCCAATAACTAGGAAAATCATGTGGCTGGTAGTTCTTTCAACACACCACACAAAAGAATGCTCAGTAAATGCTTACTAAATAATGAATGGAATGCCTTACAAAGCTAGGGTGAACATTTAACCTGCTTGGCCCTGGATGGTTTCTGTTTATACATTTCAACCCTGTGTCATTATGAATATGTCTCTTTTATTATCAAAGTTGTCTCTGAGCAACAAATTATACATTCATCTAATTGTGTGTGTTATCAAATAGATATCTATTTCATTGTCTCTTCAACTAGGTAGTTATTGGGGATCAGAAATTGTATTTGTTTAATTTTTATAGCCTCATTTATTCATTCAACTAAAAGAATGACTCTATCAAGATGCTGAGTTTCAATGTCAAAGCAAACATGTTTCTTGCCCTCCTGAATTTTCAATCTGGCAAGAAAAAGCAGTCTACACAAAGAATATCACCTGACATAATAAACATTAGTGTGAAATGAATGGATACATTTAAGCATTCCTAATCCAGCAATTCAAATCCCATGAATTATAATTGACAGAAGTAATCACAAACAGAACTCCATGTCATCCTGCTTCCATTTACATTTCTACTTAAAATCTTAAAAATCAAACACCACAAATATACCTAAGAATGCATAATATTATATGCTATCTTGATATTAAGCATGAGAAAAAAAACCATACAGCAATAGCAATTTTGAACCTTTTCTTTTTTAGATAAGTTATAATCCTATGTGTTCTCTACAGTGAAGATTAGGATTGTAGATACTCTTCCTCTCCCTCACTTTTTATTTTAGAGATGAGAAATCTGGGGTTTTAGAAACTGAGCTCCAAGATAAAAGAAATATTTCTTTTTTAAAAGAAGATTTTTTTTATTTGAAAGGCAGAGTTACAGAGAGGCAGAGGCAGAGAGAGAGAGAGAGAGAAGTTCCATGCACTGGTTCACTCCCCAAATGGCTGCAATAGCCATAGTTAAGCTGATCCAAAGCCAGGAGCCAGGAAATTCTGGGTCTCTGATGTGGATGCAGGGTCCCAGGCATTCGGGCCATCTTCTGCTGCTTTCCCAGGCTACAGAAAGCTGTATTGGAAGTGGAGCAGCAGGGACTTGAACTAGCCCCCGTATAGAATGTCGGTGCTGAAGGCGGAGGCTTAGCCCACTATGCCACAGTGCTGGTCCCGAAAGACTTCTTAAACCAATATTTCATGTTGGTTGGCCTATAACCTAGATTTTTTTTTTTTACCATACTTCCATGGGCAAATTCAATTCTAATCTCTTTCCACCTCAGCTTTCTCTTTGTAAATTGAGAATATGGTCTCCAGAATTAACCCAAGGTATAATTGATACAAAGTAAGGCATTTACTCTGTTAATCTGGCCCCTAGAAGATACTTGGCAATGTTATCCTGTATCCAGTTTCTTTTTTTTTTTGTTACTTGGTGAATTAGAGGGTGGTGTAAAATGCTTTGAAAAGAACCACAAATAAAAGACACAAGTAAAAATGTATTCTCAAATCTAGATGTTAAACTGTGCCGTGTACACCTGTGCTGAGAGTTACATTGAAATCCTTGTCATGGTTACTTGAGAGAAGCTGTCCAGGAATAAAGCAGCAGGGGATTTTCCTGAGGGAAACAGCGTGTGTGAGGGAACCGGGATTTGGGACTCAGCAGCAGTGGCTGTCACTTCTTAAGATTTTGTTCAAGAAAGGAAGAACAGCAGCTGACCCTTGAGATCTGGGGTGGGAAGGAAGGGAAGGAGGGATGGAAACAAAAGCAAACGCTCTCTGGTTCCCAGCCTGTCTCCACCCACCCCGCACTGAAGCCCTAGGAGAGGGCCAGTAAGTCTATCTAGGATGCCCTGGCCTGACTCCATTTCCAGAGTCACCTGGTGCTCCAACGTTTCCGTGCTCTGAACGCCGTGACGTGTGCAGTGGGGAACGTGCGCATGCGTGCCTGTCCCCTGTGGCTCGGGGCTGGGAACAGAAGTTCATGTACTGATCAGAGAGGTCGCTGAGAGGCCGCGCTGCTCCTTTCCCACATTCACTGGGGAGCTTGCCTGGCAAGTGCAATTGCAGGCGGTTCGGGAGCACACACCCCAGACCTGCCGCCACTTGCTTCTGTGCCGCTGCATCTGCCACTCGTGGGCCCCAAGTTCCAGTCGACTTCTCCTGTCCCACACTCTCCGCTTTGCTCCCTGTGTGTCCTGAAGGAAGGGGATGTGCTCCCGAGATTTTCCACAGCAAGTATGGAGAACAGGAGGGGCACAGATGTGTGTGGGGAGGGGAGGGTGCGATGGCGGGTGGCGGCTCCCAGACCTCGATCACTTGCTTCTCAGTGATGCTGGGAGCTTCTCCAGCAGAGTCAAGTCTGGGCCCAGGTGTTGTGTCTCCCACCGCCTTCCCAGTCTCCCGATGCTCGGCCAGTCCCACGGGCTGCCTACTCAAATTCTCCTTAAAGTACACTGGGTGAGGAACAGCACCAGCAGGGCAGTTGAGAGCACGCTGAAGGAAGGAGTCCCATTCCCTAGATTTAAATAAGCCCAGTTCTCACTTTGGGTGGATCAGAGAATGCCTTGTGGCTGGCCTCCGGCTATATCCCCTGGTAGTTCCAGCTGGGCGGGGCTCGGTGGCCCTGAGCCAGAGCCTGAGGCAGTGGAGAGGTGGAGATGGAGATCAGATCAGGTAGGCTCTGGCTCCTGGCCCCCACGCTGGACCCCGCGGACACATTTTCAGCTGGGGCGCTGTGTGTTGGCTGACTTTCCCAGCAGCACGTGAAGCTTGTGCAGTAGCTTTGTGGATTGATCGCTCCTCCGTGTTTAATTAACAGACTCTTTTCAATCTGGAGCTTGAGGCCATGGAAACCTAGCTGATTTTTTTCCTGCGTTTCGATTTCTGTCTTCAACCCTTCTTTCTTCTCATGTTATTAGGGATGTGAACTTTTATTACCTGCTGCTAATCCCTTTGCAAAGTGAGAAGTGAGCTGAAATTAATGCAAGTCTACCGTGTGAGTTAATAATGAGCTACTTCAATCTGCATTTTCATAGTGGAGAGCTACAAAAACATAAATACAGAAAAGTATCAATTTTTCTTGTCTAGTTCTTTACAGTCACTCAATGCTCCACCAAGCTGATTATCTTACAGTCCATACGATTTTAATTAAGGGGGCCAGTTACATTTTTTTTTTTAATTTGACACGCAGAGTTAGAGAGGAAGGGTCTTCCTTCTGGTGGTTTCACACCCTAAATGGCCACTATGGCTGTCGGTTGCTGTGCTGATCCGAAGCCGGGAGCCAGGCGCTTCCTCCTGGTCTCCCCCGTAGGTGCAGGGGCCGAAGCACTTTGGGCTCACAGTAGAGAAGCTGACTGGAAGAGGAGCAAATGGGACAGATCCGGTGTGCATATGGGATAACCTGCGCTGCAGGCAGAGGATTAACCCAAGTGATCCACGGTGCCGGGCCAGTTACTTTTTTAAAAAATTATTTATTTATTTATTTGAAAGGCAGAGTTACAGAGAGGCAAAGACACACACACACACATCACACACAGAGATAGAGAGAGAGAGAGAGAGAGCTCCCCATCTGCTGGTTCCTCCCCAGATGGTCACAATGGTCGAGAACTGCATGGATCTGAAGCCAAAAGCCAGACCTTCTTCCCGTTCTCCCACACAGGTACAGGGGACCAAGCACTTGGGCCATCTCCACTGCTTTCCCAGGCCATAGCAGAGAGCTGGATCAGAAGTGGAGCAGCCAGGTCTGGAACCAGCACCCATATGGTTTACCCGCTCAGCCACAACACCAGCTTCAAGTTACTATTCTTATTCTGGGTTCTGTGTTTAACCCCATGACTATTTCACATGGGAGGATATTAGTGATAGATTTGCACAAATGACTGGTCTGTGGAAGACTTTGTACAAGGTGTTGATGTGAAGACGGGTAAGGAAGAAAAGAGAAAATGTGCCCCTCTCCCCCACAGAGAGCCCACACAGTACGGTAAAAGATGTGGCTTTGAGCTGCACTGTGGCTTCGTAGGTTACCCTCTGCCTGTGGTGCCAGCATCCCATATGGGCACCAGTTTGAGTCCCAGCTGCTCCTCTGATCCAGCTCTCTGCTATGGCCTGGGAAGGCAGTAAGAAGATGGCCCAGTGCTTGGCCTCTGCACCCATGTGGTGAGACCAGAAGAGCTCCTGGCTCCTGGCTTTAGATCAGTACAGCTCTTCTGGCCATTTTGACCAACTGGGGAGTGAACCAGCAGAAGGAAGACCTTTCTGTCTGTCTATCCATCTCACTATCTGTAATTCTACCTCTCAAATAAATAATAAAACATCTTTTAAAAAAAGAGAGAATGTGGCCCTGAAACTATTGCTATAGACTAACTTTCAGTGTAATGAAGTGTTCACTTGATTAACTGAGTGATTCATAGATTCTGTTAGAGTCCCTGTTGTCACCAGATTACTAATCTGTGAACTCATTTAGCATAGGTAGGTTACCTAGGAAGTAAGAATAGAAAGGGGATCCTGGATAGAGGTTGCTAGGGTGACAGCATTCTTCCTCTCAAACCCAGTGTGTTTTGACCTTTCTCCGCATGGTACTCCCTATCACAGTGCTTGCGAGTGGGCAAGCATTGATGTGTTCTTCTGCTGAGAAGAGCTGCTTCACACCCAGGAAACAACCAGTGCCCATGTGGGGTGCTGGCACTGCCAGGGTCTGCTTAACCTACTACACCAGTCCATGTGCATGTTTCAAGAGGGGGAGGGGTTACATTTTTTCTAATATAACTCTCAAAATAAGATTAGAATGTGTAGTAGATGATGATTTTGGTTATATTTTGAGTTTCATTAAATTTCAATATTTTTAAGTTAATGAGTACTAGTAGTTATCTTATTTTTTTTAAGATTTATTTATTTTACTTGAAAGTCAGAGTTACAGAGAGAAGAGGCAGAGAGAGAGAAGTCTTCATCTGCTGGTTCACTCCCCAATTGGCTACAGTGGTCGGAGCTGTGCCGATCCAAAGCCAGGAGCCAGGAGCTTCTTCTGTGTAGTAGTTATGTTATGTTATCCCTGCTTTGGATAAACAAACTCTCTCCCATCCCTCAGTTAAAATGTTTTTTAAAACAGGTTTATTTGAGGGCTGGCACTGTGGCATTGCAGGTGAGGCCGCCACCTGCAGTGCTGGCATCCCATATGGGTGCTTGTTTGAGATCTAGCTTCCTGCCATGGCCTGGGAAAGCAGTGGAAGAATGGCCCAAGTTCTTGGGTTCTGCACCGCATGGGAGACCTGACAGAAGCTTCTGGCTCCTGGCTTCAGATAGATCCAGCTCTGGCCATTGCAGCCATTGGGGAGTGAATCAGTGCATGAAGACTTCTCTCTGTGCCCTGCCTCTCTGTAACTCTGCCTTTTAAGTAATAAATAAATTTTTACATGCTACACACCACTGTGCTGGCCCCAAGACCTAACAGGTTTTCTGGGTGTACTAAGCACAGTTATTCTGTTGACTGCATATTTCATGTTCCTTCTTATGGAAAGTTTTCTCATGATCTGAGTGATTGGCTACATCTGCCCGTAGTGGAAACTAAAACTTAATTTGGCGTTTGAACACCCAGAGTGCTGATTCCTGTAATCTTTTGAATTTAATCAAAAAATGTGTTTTGAAACATTTGGTCTGTGGGTAGGCAGGGCAGTTTTCCTGGATCCCTGTGAGAAATTGATGAGCTGATGGTGTGTTTCTACCCCACATTATATTCTGAAATTTACTTCCTTTTATTTTCTGAAAATAACTATATTTGAAATTTGCTCCTCCCTTCTGAAATGTTTGTGGCTTCTGTCCTCCTTATAACCACGGACATGAGTAGCCCTTTTCCCTTCTCTTTATGATGTTACAAGAGCAGTGGGACATTGCAGCTCTCTCCCCCTGGCAGCACATCTTCCTCATTACGTCTCTTTGAATTAGACCCTGGGTAACTTGGCTGCACAAAGGCATATATCTAAACCCAGTGTACCTATTGAATGAAAGTCATCATAAAGTCAATATGCCTTGTAAACCTCTCATCTCTTGTTTTGGAATGTGTTTGTGAATGTGTCTTTTATGTCAGTGTCTGTAAGCTGGAGACTTCCCACTTAAGGCAGAAGGCTGCTGAGGGACAGCACAACTGATAGCTTTGCTCTGTTACTTTACTGTGGCTACTCTCTCACCCTCTCTCTTATTTTATTAAGATTTAAAAATTTTATTTAAAGCAGAGTTACAGAGGAAGAGGCAGAGACAGAAGGATGGGGATCTTGCATCTGCTGGTTCACTCAAGAGACTGCAATGAATAATGCTGGCCCAGCCTGGAAGTCCAACCCAGTGTCCCATGTTGGTGCAAGGACCCAAGTACTTGTGCCATCTGTTTCTGCTTCTCCAGTTGCATTAGCAGGGAGCTGCATCAGAAGTGGAACAGCTGTGACTCAAACTGGCACTCATGGGGCCGACATTGTGGGGAAAGCCACCATCTGCAATGCCAGCTTCCCAGATGAGTAGCCGTTCATGTCCCAGTTGCTCCACTTCTAACCTAGCTCCCTGCTGCTGGTCTGAGAAAAGCACCAGCGGATGACTCAATTGTTGGGGCCATTGTAACCCATATGGGGGACCCAGATGAAGTGCCTGGCTCCTGGCTTCTGTGTGCTTCAGCCCTGGCCATGGCAGCCATCTCGGAAGATTTCTCTCATTTTTAGCATTTAGTTATTATTTACAAGGCAAAGATAAGAAAGGGAGAGAATGAGAAAGAGATTTCCATCTGCTGGTCTACTTCCTGGATGGCTTCCAATGGCGAAGACTGGCCAGGCCCAAGCCAGGCACCAAGAGCTTCATCCAGGTCTCCCCACTTGGGTGTCAAGGACCCAGGTATTGGGCCATCTTCTACTTTTCCAGGGGCCACTAGCAGAGAGCTGGATCAGAAGGGGAGGAGCCAGGACATGAACTGGTGCCTATACCAGATGCCAGCACCTGCAGACAACAGCTTTACCTGGTAGTCCACAATGCCATCCCATCTGACTCTCCCTCCTCTCCATAACTCTGACATTTTTTTTTAAGATTATTTTATTTATTTGACAGAGTTACTGATAGAGATAGAGACAGATAGAGAGGTCTTCAGTCTGCTGGTTCACTCCCCAAATGGCCACAGTGGGCCAGATCTGAGCTGATCTGAAACTAGGAGCCAGTACTTCTTCTGGATCTCCCACGTAGATATTGGGGACCAAGGACTTGGGCCA